ATATATATACGTAACTCTTAGTTTTTCTAAAACATTTTTATAAGTTTCTACTAATCCTAAATAACTGGGAAAACTTGAAATAAGCACAAAGCAGAAGCTCGGGATTCAAGAGGATAAAATCGGTGGGGCACAGCCCCCCGTGGCCACCCCCACTTGAGGCACCCCTATTGATTGACAGGTGATGTTCCACACAGGAATGACGAGCTGGAGCCACATCGCTGCTCATCTCTGAGAGACAAACATGGAGTTATCATTTATGTGGCTCTCTAGCAGGGCCAAGACTTTTCAAATCCGTGCCTTCTGAGTGATTAGGAAGCACTGCAGAGCTGATTTGTTGTCATAGGCTGAGCTTTATGGGACACAGATCAGCAGACTGGAGGCGCGTTACAGAAGCAATGTGCCACCGCAAAACAAGACTGCGTTACGTGGCCACTGGGCCGACCGCAGCAGCACCTTCACAGGGCGAACCACCAGCGGCCCATCAGGAAAACTCCCGGTGGACTTATACGCCTGTCTGCCCCTGTATTCAACCATTTTTTCTGCACCTCTGAAGTAGATTACAGTGTTTTCTCTTGCCTTTTTATAAAATATAAAATTTTCATTATGATCTGCCATTTTCAGTAATTATACAATGTAAATAGTTGAGTGAAAACAATGTTTATCCACCTTTATGAGGCCGTTATTTGCTTGTTTTGAAGGTGATCTAGTGCATGCCTAGGTTTAGGTCTGACTCAGGATGATGTGATGCACCAGGTGTTTCCTGTTTGAGTCAAAGGCCGAACAGCATCTTTCCAAATATGATTTAATATCTAAGATGTCCTTGGAGATTCAAATAATTCACGAAGCAGAACTTTCTACCTGTTTTTCTCCTGCGGATGCAACACATGTCCTTTTTATTATTCCACTTGTTTCTGGTTAGAACATCAGCATGAAAAAGATGGACGCAGTGTTTTCTTCTTCTCCTGTTGTTTAAAACTGAGGCTGCAGGGTCTGGTTTTGTGGAGGCTGGTACTTTTGCATCCAGAGTGCTAATTTTCCTGCACACAGTCCTATCCTAACTAATCACTACTTAACGAATTAGAAAACAATAAAAGTTGAGCACAGTACACTGAAATAAAAAAAACTTTTGGGTGTAGTAACCTTTATTTAATTATTCTTTTAAATTTGACAAAAAAATCATCAAAATCTCTAAACTACTAGAATTTACTAAATAAACAAACGCATTATATACATGCGCACACAAGGCTGCTCCTCCTCATTCCCTTGCTTCACTTTTC